ATCTGCTTCTGTCACCCGTCCCTGGCAGCACAATCCAGGCACTTAATCACCTTCTGTGTAAAACAAAATTGGCCTCTCTCATCTCCTTTAAACTTGCCCACTTTTACCTTAAACCTATGACCCCAAGTAATTGACATTTCTACCCAGGGAAAAGGACTTTGACTATCCATTCTATCCATGCCTCTCATAATTTTGTAAACTTCTATCAGGTTGTCTCTCAGCCTCTGACGTTCAAATGAAAACAAACTGAGTTTGTCCGATCTCTCCTCATAGCTAATACCCTCCAAACCAGGCAACATCCTGGTAAACATTTTCTGTACCCTCTCCAAAGCCTCTGCATCCTTCTAGCAGTGTGGTAACCAGAACGGTAAACAGTATTTCAAATGTGGCCTAACTAAAGTTCAATGCAGCTGCAACATGACTTGCCAATTTTTATAGTACATACCCTGACCAAGAATGCCATACGCCTTCTTGACCACCTTATCCACTTGTGTTGTTACTTTCAGGGAACTATGGACCTGTACGTTTAGATTGGTCAGTATGTTAATATTTCTAAGGGTTCTGCTATTTCCTGTATAATTCCCTTCAGCATTAGACCTTCCAAAATACATCACCTCATATTTGTCAGGATTCCATCTGCCATTTCTCCGCTCAACTCTCCAGCCTATCCTGCTGTATCTTCTGACAATCCTCCTCACTATTTGCAGCTCCCTCAATCTTTACGTTGTCCGCAAACTTACTAATCAGACCACCTACATTCTCTTCCAAATAATTTATTTACTGAAAACAACAGGGGTCCCAGCAGTGATCCCTGCCTTACACCACTCGTCACAGATCTCCAGCCAGAAAAACACCCTCCCACTGCTACTTTTTGTCTTCTATGACCAAGCCAGTCCTGTATCCGTCTTACTAGCTCACCATGGATCCCATGTGACTTCACCATCTATATCAGTCTGCCATGAGAGATCATGTCAAAGGCCTTTCTAAAGTCCATGTAGACAACCATCCTAGCCCTCATGAATCATCTTTGTCACATAAGAACTAGGAGCAGGAGTAGGCCGTCCGGCCCTTCGAGCCTGCTCTGCCATTCAATAAGATCATGGCTGATCTTTTCGTGGACTCAGATCCACTTACCCGTGTTCTCACCGTATCCCTTAATTCCTTTATTGTTCAAAAAAAATCTACCTTATCTTTAAAAACGTTTATTGAAGTAACGTCAACTACTTCACTGGGCAAGGAATTCCATAGATTAACAACCCTCTGGGTGAAGAAGTTCCTTCTCAATTCAGTCCTAAATCTGCTCCCTATAATCTTGAGGCTATGCCCTCTTGTCCTAACTTCACCTGCCAGTGGAAACATCCTCTCTACTTCTATCTTATCTGTTCCCTTCATAATTTTATATGTTTCTATAAGATCCCCCCCTTAATTTTCTGAATTCCAATGAATATAATCCCAATCTACTCAGTCTCTCCTCATAAGCCAACCCCCTCAACTCCAGAATCAACCTAGTGAACCTCCTTTGCACCCCCTCCAGTGCCAGTACATCCTTTCTCAAGTAAGGAGACCAAAACTGCACACAGTACTCCAGGTGTGGCCTCACCAGCACCTTGTACAGCTGCAACATAACCCTCTCTGCTTTTAATCTCAATCCCTTTAGCAATGAAGGACAAAATTCCATTTGCCTTCCTAATTACTTGTTGTATCTGCAGACCTACCTTCTGTGATTCATGCACAAGGACACCCAGGTCCCTCTGCATAGCAGCATGCTGCAACTTTTTACCATTCAAGTAATAATCCTTTTTACTATTATTCCTACCAAAATGTATGACTTCACATGTATTTACATTGTATTCCATCTGCCAGACCTTTGCCCACTCACTCAATGTATCTATGTTCCTCTGCAAAGTTTCACAGTCGTCTGCACACTTTGCTTTGCCACTCATCTTAGTGTCATCTACAAACTTTGACACCCTACACGTGGTCCCCAACTCCAAATCATCTATATAATTTGTAAATAATTGCGGTCCCAACACCGATCCCTGAGGCACACCACTAGTCACTGACTGCCAGCTAGAATAGCACTCATTTATCCCCACTCTTTGCTTCCTGTTAGTCAACCAATCCTCTATCCATGCTAATACTTTACCCTTAACGCCATGCATCCTTATCTTATGCAGTAGCCTCTTGTGCGGCACCTTGTCGAAGGCCTTTTGGAAATCTAGGTACACCACATCCACTGGGTCCCCATTGTCCACCTTGCTCGTAATGTCTTCATAGAATTCCAAAAGATTTGTCAAGCATGACCTGCCCTTCATGAACCCATGCTGCGTCTGCCCAACAGGACAATTTCTATCAAGATGCCTTGCTATTTCTTCCTTGATAATAGACTCAAGCATCTTCCCCACTACAGAGGTTAAGCTAACCGGTCTATAATTCCCCATCTTTTGTCTACTTCCCTTTTTAAACAGTGGCGTCACATTTGCTGTTTTCCAATCTGCTGGGACTGCCCCAGAGTCCAGCGAATTTTGGAAAATTACCGCCAGTGCACCTGCTATTTCTCCCGCCATCTCTTTCAGTACCCTGGGATGCATTCCATCAGGGCCAGGAGACTTACCAATCCTTAGCTCCATTAGCTTGCCCAACACTACCTCTTCCATAATAGTGATTGTTTCCAGGTCCTCACCTACCTTCGTCTCTTTGTCAATTACTGGCATGTTATTAGTGTCCTCCACTGTGAAGACCAATACAAAATACCTGTTCAATGCCTCGGCCATTTCATTATATCCCATAACTAAATTCCCCTTCTCATCCTCTAAAGGGCCAACGTTTACTTTAGCCCCTCTTTTTCGTTTTATATATTTGTAGAAACTTTTGCTATCTGTCTTTATATTCTGTGCTAGTTTTTTCTCATGTTCTATCTTACTTTTCTTTATAGCTCTTTTTGTGGCTTTCTGTTGAACTTTAAAGTTTTCCCAATCTTCTAGTTTCATGCTGTTTTTGGCCACTTTGTATGCCTTCTCTTTCAATTTGATAGCCTCCCTTATTTCTTTAGACACCCATGGCAGATTACCCCTTTTCTTACAGTCCTTCCTTTTCACTGGAATATACGTTTGCTGAGCACTTTGAAAAATTGCTTTGAAAGTCCTCCACTGCTCGTCAACTGGCCTACCATAAAATCTTTGTTTCCAGTCTACTTTAGCCAAGTCCTCCATCATTCTATTGTAGTTCCCCTTGTCCAAGCACAGGACCCTGGTATTGGATTTTATCTTCACACTCTCCGTCTGTATTCTAAATTCAACCATACTGTGATCACTCCTTCCAAGAGGATCCCTAACTATGAGGTCATTAATTATTCCTGTCTCATTACACAGGACCAGATCTAGGATAGCTTGCTCCCTCGTCAGGTCCATTACATACTGTTCAAGAAAACTATCACGGATACACTCAACGAACTCCTCCTCAAGGCTACCCTGACTGAGCTAGTTCGACCAATCTACATGTAGATTAAAATCCCCCATGATAATTGCTGTACCATTTTTACAGGCATTAGTTATTTCTTTGTTTATTGCCCGCCCCAATGTGATGTTATTATTTGGTGGCCTGTAGACTACACCTATCAGTGACTTTTTCCTCTTAGAATTTCTAATTTCCACCCAAATGGATTCAACCTCATTCTTCATAGAACCTATATCATCTCTCAGCACCGCCCTGATGTCGTCCTTGAATATCAGAGCTACACCACCTCCCTTAACTTCCTGTCTGTCCTTCCAAATAGTCTGGTACCCTTGGATATTTAACTCCCAGTCGTGACCATCCTGTAACCATGTCTCTGTAATGGCTACCAAATCATATTCATTCGCGATGATTTGTGCCGTTAACTCATCAACCTTGTTACGAATGCTACGAGCATTCAGGTAAAGTGCCTTTATCCTAGCTTTCTTACCCTCGTGATTTCCAACATCTCTAACAATATCTCCTGAGTTATCCTTCCTTTTTGCTTCTTTCATAGTCTGCCTTGAACTTAAACCCTCCTGCACACATGCTAACCTGCTGCTTACTTTTTTATTTACCATCATACTCCCTGTCGTTTTCCGTTTTCCTTTTCCCTTCCCCTTCCCCCCACCTCACTAGTTTAAAGTCCTAGTGACCACCCTATTTATCCTTTTCGCTAGAACACTGGTTCCAGATCGGTTCAGGTGGAGACCGTCCCATTGGTACAGATCCCTCCGGTTCCAAAACTGATGCCAATGCCCCATGAAATGGAACCCCTCTTTTCCACACCAGTCCCTTAGCCACGTGTTTATTTCCCTAATTTTTTTATCCCTAAACCAATTTGCACGTGGCTCGGGCAGTAATCCGGAGATTGTGACCCTCGAGGACCTGTTCCTTAATTTCGTTCCTAGTGCTTGATAATCCCCAAACAGGTCCTCCATCCTAGCCTTGCCTATGTTGTTAGTCCCAACGTGGACCACAACAACTGGATCCTCCCCCTCCCGCTCTAATATCCTTTCAAGCCGGTCAGAGATGTCCTGCACCCTGGCACCGGGCAGGCAACACACCATGTGGGACTCCCGATCCAGATTGCAAAGGATACTATCTATTCCCCTAACTATAGAATCCCCTATAACTACCACTTGTCTTTTTGCTCCCCCCTCTTGAATGGCCTTCTGCACTGTGGTGCCGTGGTGAGCTGGCTCATCCTGCCCGCAGCCCTTTTCCTCATCCACACAGGGAGCAAATATCTCGTACCTGTTGGATAAGGTCAAAAGCTGAGGCTCCTCCACTCCTGAACTCAGGATCCCCCTACCTGCCTCACTTGCAGTCACACCCTGTTGTCTCTGATCACTAATTGAATTTGAATTACTTAATCTACCAGGTGTGACTGCCTCCTGAAACAAAGTGTCCAGGTAACTCTCCCGGATGTGCCGCAGTGTTTGAAGCTCAGATTCCAGATCTTCAACTCTGAGCCGGAGTTCTTCCAGCAACCAACACTTGCTGCAGATGTGGTCACTGCCGTTCACAATGGGATCAGCCCAAATATATTCCCGGCAGCCCCCTGGTCCTCGCTGTCGCCTCTCCCTCTGCTGCTGATAAATGAAGGCCGCTGATGCTCGAGGTAAGCCCTTTAGGAGGGAAAACTTACCTTCCCAGCAGCCCCCTGGTCCTCGCTGTCGCCTCTCCCTCTGCTGCTCAAAAAACTCAGTCAAGTTTGTGAGATACGACCTCCCCTGCACAAAGCCATGCCTGTTGCTAATAAGTGCATATTTTTCTAAATGTGATTGAATCCTGTCTCTAAAAATCTCCTCCAATAATTTCTCTGCCACTGATGTAAGACTCACCAGCCTGAAACTTCTCACATTATCCATGGTGTCCTACTTAAAGGAAAAGCATTGGCTATTCTCCAGTCCTCTGGGACTTCTTCTGTGACTAAAGAGGATGCAGAGATTTCATATAAGGCCTCAACAATTTCCTCCCTGACCTCCATCAGTATTCTGCGAGGATCTCCTCAGGTCCTGGGGACTTATCTACCTTAATGCTTTTCAAAACACCCAACACATTTTTTATATTGATAATTTCTATATGTTTCAATAAGGTCGCCTCTCGAACTTCTAAATTCCAATGAGTACATGAAAACCCACTCAAGCTCTCCTTAAAGAACATTCCTCCATATCCAGGATCAAATAGTCTTCTCTGACCTGCCTCCAACTCCAGTACAACTTTTCTTAGTTAAGGGCACTAAAACTGTTCTCAATATTCTGGAAGTGATGTTCATGTTTTGAGTATTGAAGGTGTTTTCCAATTTTCGTTACTGACACTAAGGATAGTTGAAGCAAATCTCCATCTAGAGAAGTAAAAAAAAGGCTGGAAATACTCAGCACATAAGGCAACATCTGTGGATGGAAACAGAGTTAACATTTCAAGTCGGTGACATTTTAGCTAGTGAATATGAGCTATTATGTAGAGACCCAGATAATGGCAGATGGTGAAATTTGAATTCAATAAATATCTGGAATTAAGAGTCTAATGATGACTGTGAATCTAATGTTGATTGTTGGGAAAAAAAATCCGTCTGGTTCACTAATGTCCTGTAGGGAAGGGAACTGCCATTCTTACCTGGTCTGACCTACATGTGACTCCAGACCCACAGCAATGTGGTTGACTCTTAACTGCCCTCTGGGCAATTGGGGATGGGCAATAATTGCTGCCTAGCCAGTGACACCCTCATCCCATGAATGCAAAAAAACGTGACTGGCTTTTGTACTTTTATCTTTCAGTAGCCTGCTTACACAGAAGGAACACAGAATGTGGATTTCTGATTTTATTCTCAGAGTTGCTTCATCTTCCCAATTTACGTGTCAACTTCTGATCATTGTGAGCTGCTTGTTGAAGACTTTCTGAGACCTGTGGAGTCACTGCTGTTGTAAGTGTTGCCGTGCTTTTGTTTAGATAATTAGGGAACTGACTTGTGTGGATAATAAAAATGGGATCGATCAGTTGGGCAAAATGGCCTGTTTCTGTGATGTATTTATATAAATAAATTTGTTAACAAATTAAATTACTGCAGGTGTTGGAAATCTGAAATGAAAATTGAAAATACTGAACGGTCTCAGCAGGGCAGCCTGTTAATGTTTCAAGTCTGATGAATGTACTGAGCTGAAATGTTAACTGTTTCTCTCTTAACCTCAGAATCGTGGAATCAGGTTAGCATAGCATTATTTCTGATGTGTACTTCATATTTTCTGTTTTTAAATCAATTTGTTGAATTTGGCTGTGGCACAGTTTGAAACTGGCACAATAGAAATATGGGAAATCTTACATTTCCGAGTTACATATGCTATTGGTCTTTTAGTTGATGCTTTTAATTTAATTCACAAAGCAAGCTACCTTAAAGTCTTTCTTTTTGTTTTTTTGGAGTGGCAGTTTAACAACAATTATTACACTTTTAAGCACATTAATGTTTAACATATATACTTCAAAAAGGTTCAGATTCTGGCTTTTATATTATCTGAGCATTATGTGCAGCTGTGACATTTGAACTGCTTGTCTCATCCTGTGGCTTTCACCCTTGTGCCTAGATCATTAAGAACAGTGAGTGCAGCTAAATAAATAGACATTTCCAAACTGCAAATTTATTACTTGGGTGAAGAGTTAAAGTCATAGAAATTATCTAAAGCAGGGATATTTGGCTTTGAACGTGGAATGATTTACTCTGTCAATTTTTTTCCCTTTGTATAATTCAGAATAGCAGTGAGGGAATGGGATTTGCTGATTTTTTTTAAGGGAAGAGGTGATGCACACAAACGATAACAATTTGCATTTATATTGTGCCTTTAATGTAGTTAAATATCCCACTGCACTTCATGATAGCAAACCACATAAACAGATATTAGGACAGATTTGTCAAAGAGATATGTTCAGGAGAGTCACAAAGGCAGACAGATGTGGAGATGTTTAAGGAGGGAATTCCAGACGTTAGGATGGTGCATCTGCCAATGGTAGGATAGTGAAGACATTACAACTGGAACAATACAGAGATTGCAAAGATTGATGGAGCCAACAGAGGTAAGGAAGGATGTGGCCATAGAGGGATTTGAGAAACAGGATGAATGGATAAAGGCATATTCACCAGTAATAGTGGGGTCTATAGGAAAGATAAGAAGTTTTTCGAGACTTGCATTCAGAAATGTACTTCTTCATAAAAGCCACACTGCTTGATATTTGTGTGATGTACTACCACAATCCTGTATGGGAAAATTTTAGTGCACAGACAAGTAGTTAAAAAAAAAATTAAAAGACTTGTATTTATATAGTGGTTTTCAGGCACCTCCGAAATCCCCAAAGCACTTTACAGCTAATTAAGCATTTCTGAATTGTAGTCGGTGTGTAGGAAAACGGGCAGTCTATTTTTACACAGCAAGATCCCAAAGAATAAAAACGTACTCATACCAGGATTAGAGATAGTAGGAACTGCAGATGCTGGAGAAACTGAGATGACAAGGTGTAGAGCTGGATGAGCACAGCAGGCGGGTCTAGACCAGAAACGTCAGCTTTCCTGCTCCTGCTTGGCCTGCTGTGTTCATCCAGCTCTACACCGTGTTTTCTCATACCAGGATTATCTGTTCTGGCGACGCTGAATGTTTGACAGATAGATCGGGCAGAAGTTTGAAATTCTCCCGGCCCTTGGAAGTAATGCAATGGAACGGATTTGTGACGCATACCTGAGAGAGCAGTCAGGTCTGAGTTTAAATCCTAAATTTATTTATTTCTAACACTGAGTTTAAATGTTTGCATTTTAAAATAAAAGAAGTGCGGTAATTCACTTAAAATTGTAATATAATGGGAGGAAGACTTGGTTTCACTGGAATGTGTTTAGGTCAGGTTTTTGTTGAGTTTCAGTTATGATTTGATCTGCAAGCACAGTGCAATTTAAAATTCTGTGAAAATGCGGAAAAACATGCGAAGTTAAAAAAAAATCCGGCAAGTTTCATTAATCAGTTGCTGCATGGACAGCGTTTGTGTCTTGAGGTAGTAAGCATTTCAGGACCTTCTTGCACAGGTTGTTCATGCAGATCAACAACTCGCCTATTTTTACCCGTTCTGTCTGTCCTCTGTCAGGCACAAGCTGGCTTCGGGAACGGTATGTGCTATGGTAGGCTGTGTGTACGTGCGGTGAAGTAAGTGCGCTGTGGAGCGCACATGTACACGCCGAACTCGTACTGGGCGGGTCAGTAACCTAGTGAGAGGGGAGGCGACATCTGGAGACGTCTCTTCCACGCATGTACCCCTCACGGAGTCAGCCTGCAAGTAGACCTTCCTGAACAACAAGGTACGTGGGATCTCATAAAACTGCTCAACCTCTTGTTTTTGCTACCATATGTTGGATCTCAGATTCCAAGTCTTCCAGTAGGCGGCTGTCACTATCCAATCTCTTGCCACGTTGTCATTTGCTTTTGTATTAATTTATTATTTGCAGAATGTTTCTCAATTGTCTTCGGGAGTTGCTTGTTTAGAGTACAACGCGTGAACAACTTCGGGTATCATTTCAGTAGTATACAGTGCAAGGGAACGAGTCGTGCAAATAAAATGACCTTAGCTGTTTATTTGCAGTGGACAATCGTATCATTGTAGCAAGGGACATTTAATTTGAAAATCGGAAGTAGTGAAATATTTGGCTTGGCGCTTGAAGACTGCACCAGTGTAACTGCTTTAAAATCAGGAACAGCATTGCCACTTGTATTTTTAAAATTAATCATACAGATACTTTTCATTAGTAGTTATGCAGAAATATGTTTTGTGGAGAAAAGATGTTGACGACATCCAAATTTATCGTGAGGGATGGGGATTGGAGTCGATGTAAACAGGTTATCTCATCGGAATTGCTAGCATAAAACTAGAAGATCTAAATACAAAACTGGCAAGTCTGGATGTGGGCGGCAACGAGATCTCGCACCAACGCACAGGGAAAGTCATGTGTCGTGCACTCCCATCAGAGCAGTGTGGTTACTGGTTAATTTCGCTGAGAAAGGAGCTGCTGAATATCTTACTGAGAAACTTTAAAATAATGTGAGAAGATTAAGTGGGGTGCTTGAATTTTAATAATACAGTTGAAGTGAGGTTAACAGTATGGCAGTGACTGAGTTCTAAAGAATTTATGTGAGTGTTATGATCTTGCTACCTTAGTTAGTTTGTACAGTTTTGGATTACTTGTTACTTTGGTTAGACCCTTGGTATGAGACTCTTCATGTTATTCCAGCCATTTGGTTTGTCTCCAGGACTGCCTCATTTTTATTTTTTTGTAATTCTCTCTCTGCCTCAAATAAATGGATTATAGGTCATGTCCTTCACTTTATAATTAGCTGCTGACAGTTTACTCACACCATCTGATACTTTTGATCACCTGCACAGACTTATTATTCAACCTGTTGACACTCCACTCACACCATTCATATGATCTTTTGATCTCTGTGCTATGTATCCTGTGCCTAAGTGCCTCTCTGCATTTCACCTGACAGAGGTGCAGCCTCCGAGAGCTTTTGATTTCAAATAAACCTAGACTATAACCTGGTGTCGTGTGACTTCTGACCTGATTGTTACTAAGTCTGTCCAGGTCGGTGAATGATAAAATCATGTAGCACAAGAATGAAATTACGTTTCCATGTGCAGATTTGAAAATACTTTTGACAATGAGTGCCTTTTGCATAGAGCCTGATGTTCTGTGAGTTACATTGTACAGCAACAAATGTTTTAATTACCATGCTATTGAGATATTGCCGAAAAGCTTTGTATACCACTTAGTTTGCAGCATTTGTGAACAGCTGCCTTAAATATAAGTGTGTTTGTGTGTGTGTGTGTGTGTATATATACTCAGTCGCAGATGCACTGCTTGTTGCTGCTTAATTTAGTCGAAGTGTGCTCGATAATGTTACTGTCTGATCATTACCAGCACTAGCAGGAACATTTCAGTATCAGAATTGAGGAGGTGGCTTCAAATAACATCTTTAGTTGGCCTTATAGCAGCTGACCGCTGCATTCTGTAATGAGAAGCTTCAGAAAATGAGTGTGTGCTCTCTATTTTGGACACATACTTTATTGATTTTTAGTTCGATGTCTTTACTTTCATAGTCACATAGTTGCTGCTTGTGCCAGCTGTCACCGAACATCACTGGTTTCAGTTGACACTTTTCCTCTATTCAACAATCTGAATTGCCCTGCCCTGCTGGCAGGAACTTGTGATAAAGAACCGCATGAAAGGGGAGGTAAGATAATGGAATAAGCAGAAGAAGAGTTTGTTACATCAACAGACGGATCTGATATCAATTTAATATGCTTGTGTAGTTGGTAAAAGAGCAAATGTAAATATTTTGTGACTTCCTGCAACAGAGCCAGAATTGAAAATTAACACTAACTGTAGATAATGTAAACATTTATTTTTTAAAAGAAGCACTCCCTTTAAAAAAATCCCTTTTATGGTTTTTGTTTTTTAAAATAAAACAAAATAAACTCCCAGGAATTGAGCAAAATCAATAATCAATCAATTATTGCATACAGATGATGAGACAATCTGTTTACTGTTTACAGGTGAATCTGCTTTGCTAAATAAAACTCTGAAGGTTGGGACATCAACATTTTCAGCATGGCTGAGGATGATTTGATTTTTGACATAGAAGGAGTTGGCAATGGAAATAGAGACTCAAGAGAGGATAGTGATGACGATGATGAACAGTACCTTATTTGCTCCATTACGGATTATGATGACCTTAATAAATCGAGTAAGATCTGCAATCGTAATTTCATGAAGAATAAATTTTGTGAAACTCCCAGCTCCCCTGGAAAGTCAGCTTTCAATGTTAAGGTATGAGCTGCTGATTTACTCACTTTTGCCTTTTTCCTTTTGCCCTTGATGACTTCATGACGTGCATGGTTATAGCAAACATTGTTTATGATATTAAACAGCATTTACTGCAATCATGAAAGCTTTGTATGAGCATTTACAAATGCTTTTATATTAAAACACACTTGCTACATAAGTTAAAGTATGGCTGTTTATAAACACGAATTTTATTCTGTCCATCACATAAGATGGTCACTATCGTTCCTTGAAATTGCAAATATCAGAGAATATTTCATTTTAATGAACCTGATGGCCAGGGGTTTGGATATTTACAGGTTAGCCTGGCAGTAATTATAATAATTTTCTGTTCAAATGATGGCATTCTCCTTAGAGATTTAGTCATACCCAACCGTTAGCAAGAAATTGCATGGAGGATATTATTAAGAGATGCATCTGTATGAAATACCTTTGCTCTTTTTTAAAAGAAGGATCTCAATATATTTGAGGTGAATGGAGTACCTTTGTTGTTACCAGCAAAGGGGTTTCATCAACATGCTTCTGTTGCTTCTGTCACAACGGGGTTTTAATCCATGTGTCTCTTTATCAATTGTTAATTGATTTAAGAATTTTAGGATGGTGAGATCAAATGAATATGTGTTGTCTAGAAATAAGTGGTAAGTTTGCTGTCAATTTAACTATTTTAGATATTTTGTTTCTTCAAGAAGCATAATATTGGGAAAAGCCTATTGCTGTTTTAAAATGCAAATATTGGTTTTGGTTTGTTTTTCTCAAATTGCAAGCAAAGTGAATAATCCATGTTGTCAAATAGTACTTGATCTTATTTTTTCAGACTGAAATAGGTGATTATTTGTAAGAAACAATTGCTTATTTGTTTTTCCTTCAAAACATTGCTTTATTGTGGCTGATTATTCTAATACTGCTAAAATAATGCTGTCTTCTTGAAATAATCCTGTACATTGGGCAGTCGCTTTATCTCGAATAATACTGTTTTGCTGTCTGCCAATACTGTATGCTCTAGATTTGAAGCAGTGATGACAGTTCAGTCTCTGCAGCATAGGCTTCTGTTATATGTCCTGATGTTACTGTGTCGGGGAAGTTTTATTGAGAAACACATCTGTTATGTTTATGTCAGTTTATTGTTGTTTAGGGGATTATGTAGGACTTACAGTTATCTGATCTAGAGGATGACTGAGGTCTCTAAACAATCAAAGATGTGAACCAGCACAGAAATCTCCCAACTTGACAACAAATATTATTTATGGTTTCATATCTTAAAATGGAGATATAAAAGTTTGCCATTTTAATCCTAAATTATAATAATGTTTCAAAATTACAAGAACATTTTTTATTGTTTTTACATTTGTTTGTTTTTTCATTTCTGATCAATCAGTTTGAACTCAGAAAAAAATTACTTATCCAAATTAGTTAACTTTTCTAGTCCAGCTTCATTTGTAAACAAGAGTAACCTTATAAGTATATTAGCTGGCTCAACAAAAGATATATGGGAACATCCTCATAATAAAAATCAATGTGAGATATTGTAATTAAGCCAAAGATTACATTGACGAGCAGTGCATTTGTTTCAAAATAAGAATTGCCTGTAATTGTTTTTTTAAAAGTAAATTTTTGCACTTCTAAATGGATCTTTCATATATTCTTCAGAATCACCAGACCCCTCCTAAGTTTGGCTCATTAACTGACCGAGGTCGGGTAGGTCCAATATCTGCAATCATTTCACTGCGTATTTTGCAGTTACCCTGTTCTGCCCCAAATCTATTTATGTTGTGCTGAATGTTTCCATGCATGCCCTCATAATGTTTGCTTTTAATGACTCGTTTAATTCTTCTCTTCATTCTTGCCATGATTGAACCACAACTCATTCTTTTCCTGAAAATCTACACAGTAGAACTCTTTACCTCCCAAGAGTCTTTCCTCCCTTCGGCAGACTTGAACTTCATTACCCCTCTCTCTCTCTTTCTTCAAGGTTGCCTTTTAAAGTGATCCTCTCTAATTAAGGTTTTGTTACCTGTTCTAACATCACCTTATGTTGCTTGGTGTAAATTTTAATTAATGCACGGTCAGAAGGTTTCACTATCTTAAATGTTGCTATATAAATACAAGCTGTTGCTACTTCAATAAAAAGCATTGTCTTCAGGATTCAAAATCCAATCTTGGGATCACCTGTCAACGGTTCCTGATTTCATGTAGTTTGTCAATTAAATAATAATTATCTCTTAGTTGTAACAACAACTGTTCGCAACAGTTAAATACTGTCTGAAGTTGCCATTTACTGTATGCATTTTGGGTGTGCTAGGCAAACAGTAGCTTAAGTGGATTTGTGATTTCACTCACACTGTAAGATACAATCAAAAGTCATAGGATTGGGATTTTACAATGAAGTAAATGTTAATGTGAAGGATATGCTGTACGGCTTTATTTGAAATGGTGTCAATGACTCCAGAATGTGGTAGAAACCTGCAGTGGCTTTAATTTTAATCTGCTGTTTAAAAACAAGGTAACTTGGCTTAACACTGCTGGAGTAGTATATTATTAGCTGTCCTCAAATTGAAATTAGTATTTTTAAAGAACACTGCCCTCGCCCCCGACCCAGTCTTTAAATTCAGTGTTCTTATTCTTGATCATTATCCTATGAGTCCATTTCTGTCCACTTGGCTGCCCAGAAATAAATGAGCATCAAGTAAAGAACAGAATCAAAGCTCAACATGATCTTACCTTTGGCTGTTATTTGCTGCGTAAGCTGGATAAAGAGTGAGCAGTGTACTGAAGCCCAGGAATCTTACTGTAGTGAGAGCCACTGCATTTAAGAAATGCTGAGGGGTGGGGGAAGAAGAGCAAAAAAGAAATTTGATATCTCTGAATTGGTGTGTACAGTAAAAACAGAATTGGCAGCACAACATTGTTTTCAATGTCTTTTTAAAAACTCTGAAGTAACAGTAAAGGTGCAGCACTGTTAACGTGCTTTCCTGGTTGTTGAATGTAGTCCAATGGGCATATTTATAGTTCTATTTAATATTTGCAGTAATGTTGTTGAAGCATTTTAGAGTGAATCAAAAGAGTTTATCTGAAGTTCAGCTACACCTAAATGTTTTATAGCTGATAATTGGAGGATGCAGTGCTCTATTTATATTTAGCAACAGTCCTTTTTTATTATTGGGTTCCTATGGTGCTGCATTCACCCTGTTTGTATTGCAAAGTGTATTCTGTAATATCTGGACAAAAGTATAAGCAGCAAAATCATGTTTGTTACTTTAACATGTCAGATGCAGAGGATCTCTATTGTAACAGCTAGGCCCATTAAAAACTAAAAGTCTTGGCAGCACATTGCTCAGCCATATGGGTGAGTGAATGACTCGGCCTTAAGAGTAAATTGATGGATCACCTGGGGATTATGAACACTTCGTACCTATTCAGTCCAGTTGACGTTAAGACTGTTATTGACCTAATCACTAAGCAGAAATATATCCTTGTATCCAACCCTTCAGTTTATATTAATATCACTCTTTAGGGCAGCATGGTGGCTCAGTGGTTAGCACTGCTGCCTCACAGCGCCAGGGACCTGGGTTCAATTCTACCCTTGGGCGACTGTCTGTGTGGAGTTTGCACATTCTCCCCGTGTCTGCGTGGATTTCCTCCGGGTACTCCGGTTTCCTCCCACAGTCCAAAAATGTGCAGGTAGGTGGATTGGTCATGCTAAATTGCCCATAGTGTTCAGGGATCTGTAGATTAGGTGGGTTTTAGGGGGATGGGTCTGGGTGGGATGCTCCAAGGGTCGGTGTGGACTTGTTGGGCTGAAGGGCCTGTTTCCACACTGTAGGTATTCTATGATTCTATGATTTGTTGTGGGACTACTTTCTCTAATAGGCCTGTGGTACTCTGAATTATAGGACAAAACCTTTAGCAACTTCTTCCAAACCTTTGACCTCTGCCATCTTGGAGAATGGCAGCAGGCAAATAGGAGCATGACCTATCTCCAAGTACCTCGCCAAGAATTACACCATCCTGACTGAGAATTATATTGCCATTTCTTTATCATCACTTGGTCAAAATCCTGGAATTTCCTTTTAACAGCGAGGTAGAAGCTTCTACATCAGAGGGAGTGCATGAGTTCAAGAAAGTAGTTTGTCACCACACACTCGAGTAGTTGGGATGTAGACAATGAATGCAGACATTTTGAGTGATGCCAACATTCCATGAGTAGGTTATTTAAAAATGCATGGGAATTAATATGGATTTGCTTTGATGTGTCAGTTTGCTGATGTACAACATGGTACAAGCTTGTAGGTGACCAAAACCACATGAAAATTAAGCAGCTAAGCACCAGAGTGAAATCACAGTGTTAATCTTCACATGTGCTCTTACAACAACCAGCTGTACTGCACTTGCAGTTTGCTTGATTCTTCCGTTGCTGCTAAAGTATCAGATTCCTTATTCGACATATATTAATGGAAGAGCAGAAATCCCCTCTATTTAAATGCTGGGAAAAGTGAAGCCATTGTTTTCATTCCTTGCTCCAAGCTCCATTCTGTAGCTATCAACTCCATCGGTAAGTTTTTGATATATTTAAAAGTTGAATTCTGAGAGTTTGCACTCACTTAATATTTTTTTTTTCTTTTGGTACTTTAAATAACATAGGACTTTATCTTGGGGAAACATTTTATAAAGTAACAAAACATTTATAAAGTACTTGACCAAGTTTGGCAGCTTTACTAGCTCAACATAGTTCTTGTATCCCAATTCAACCTTGGATGCAGTTGACATGTGGGTTTGTACCTCTCTCTGTTCTTTGTCTTTCTGTTCTTGGCATCACCTCAACTGCTTCAATTCTTTGACAACAAGGTGCAGGGCTGGATGAACACAGCAGGCCAAGCAGCATCATAGGAGCAGAAAGGCTGACGTTTCGGGCCTAGACCCTTCATCAGAAAAGGGGGAGGGAAAGGGGGTTCTGAAATAAATAGGGAGAGAGTGGGAGGCGGATAGAAGATGGATAGAGGAGAGGATAGGTGGAGAGGAAACAAACAGGTCGAAGAGGCGGGGATGGGGCCAGTAAAGGTGAGTGTAGGTGGGGAGTTAGGGAGGGGATAGGTCAGTCCAGGGAGGACGGACAGGTCAAGGGGGTGGGATGAGGTTAGTCGGTAGGAGATGGAGGTGCGGCTTGAGGTGGGAGGAGGGGATAGGTGGGAGGAAGAACAGGTTAGGGAGGCGGGGACGAGCTGGACTGGGTTTGGGTTGCGGTAGGGGGAGGGGAGATTTTGAAGCTTGTGAAATCCACATTGATACCATTGGGCTGCAGGGTTCCCAAGCGGAATATGAGTTGCTGTTCCTGCACCCTTCGGGTGGCATCGTTGTGGCACTGCAGGAGGCCCAGGATGGACATGTCGTCTGAGGAATGGGAGGGGGAGTTGAAATGGTTCGCGACTGGGAGGTGCAGT